CTTGGATACTTCAATAGGTTTCAAGGGTGAAGAGGAAAATAAAAATGAATGTAAAGTATCACTTTCCCCACTCTTCTCTCAGGAGAAAGCCAATTATGATATCTCTTCAATTTCTTTTGCAAAATGTTTATCTAAATTCTCCTATAGTTACTTTTAAAATATCAAGACCAATTTTGATCCTTTTGAACTGTTGGTGAAATTCTAGATTATAATATGCTCTTGCACATGTGATTTCTACATGTCAAGTATACAAAAAGTATAGAGGGTAAATTTGCTATCTTGTATTTGCACACCTCATAATATTGTGATATCTTTAACAAATATGATCTCCATATAGTTATTATTCCACTGTGACTGCTCCCCTCTTCCCCCTTACCCCCCAACACACACACACACACACACACACACACACACACACACACACACCCATTGAGACTTTCTTTGGTTGACTTACTTGCCCATTACCATTGAAGTGAAACTGAGGTGTATTTTAGGATCAGTGTTCTTCTGCCTGTTTGAGATTGTACTTGAGTCTATATTAAAATAGATTTTCACATTCAAATCAGCACACTTATTGATTAACTAGTTCTGAGCTTACTTGAAAATAGACAAATTTCTTTATTCTTGTGTTCTTTATGCATAAGGAATGCATAATTTCACAGATCAATATGTGAGTAGATTTTCAGTGCAGTCAAAGTGTTATAAAAGAGGTATTTTCAAAGCACTAAGGCAGTTTCTAGGCATGAAAGACACTTCTATAGATATTACCACAAGTTATCCCAAAATTACTACATATAGAGGACTGTCCTTGCAGCACAAATGAAGGAAGATAAACAGTTGATGAAGGGTTAAGTATTAGAATAGTACCATGCTACATACTAAACCTGATAGATTTTAGTTATGCATCAACCAGCCCATGTAGGTTATTGTACCAATAAAGCTATGTGAACAATTAGATTTTTATTGGGATAACTGAACTGGACATTGTGGCTTTTGCACTCTTAAGAGCACATTATTTAGTGTTAGATTTCTATAGTAGTAATAAATGGGAAAATCCACTACTTTGGACAATAATGTGAGACTAAACGACAAATTTATAGAAGTGCTTTTTGATTGGTCTGGATTCTTGAGTTATTTTCACTGATATTTCCAGCATCATGTGAAAAATAGAGGATGTCAGAATCTTCCAACAACTGTTGAATAATGCCGGTTGTTGTAATTACCTAGTACATAGGAGTAGATAAGTAGATATATACTCTAAAATTTCTCTAACACACCATCTTCTCAAGTAAACTGTGTAACTATAGTTAACAAGACCCCAGCTTGGCTTGTAATTGTGTGGTTGTTTTGTACACATAATATCTATATTTTTAATACCTTTATTTTATTTGTTTTTATGTGGTGTTAAGGATCGAACCCAGTGTCTCTCACATGTAAGGCAAACACTCTACCAACTGAGCTACAATCCCAGCCCCATATACACATAATATTAATGTAATTTTAAGTCTAGGAGGCTGTCACAGATACTGGTAGTTTGAATTGGAGCTGTTGGTTGGTCTGCTTTGTCCTTTGGCAGCTAGCTAATAGCTATGAACAAAGATAATGAAAAAGAGGGCTGTGTTGTAAGAGGAGCTCTTATTTTTATTTGTGGTGTTTAACCCTACTTCTGACTTATTTTTCCAAGTTTTTGTTAGAGTTTCATAGAACACAATAGTTTCTCCCTTTTTTATGAATTATGTTTTCTTGGAAGCATGTTAACCAGTCCTCTCCCTGCCCTAATGTTACATTATGAGTTTATAAGTAACATACTAATTAATCTCTTATGAGATCACTTTATAATCAATATTCAGGATATCTTTCTCATTGTCCCTCCCATTTTATATTGATAATTTTTTCAATTTCTTGAGTAGCATCAGTGTTTCTGTTTGAACCCAGGGGAATTTTGCACCTCTTCCTTGGTTCTCTGGTATACTGTTTCACTATTATCTGCTTGCTAACTGGTGTCTTCCTCACTCTCATTTTATCCTCATCTGTGAATTTAACACGATCCTTACTCCCTCTTTTAAATTATTAATGAAATAAACCGTGAAATAGTACTTTTATCTTTAAGTAGTTGATACTGAGAAAGTGGCAAAAGCAATAAAAGCTTCGTTCTCTAATTTAGTTCCTGTCATGGTCTCTTGGTGTCTTGGAGATAGGGCTTGAAATGAGAGTGCTCACATCTCTTCTCAGCCTGTTCACATTGAAAGGATATAATCATCTGTTTGATATCAGAGCCACTTCCCCAGTCAGACTGTGATGTCACAAACCAAAGATTATTCTCTCCCAGCAGGAAAACGCTGGAGAGGAGGTGAATCTTCATGCTGCACTACATCTTTATTCAAATTTGGTCACTTCATGAAGAAAATTAGCCATAAGAAGGAACAAGTAAACTGGCTAGTTGAAATGCCTTAAAACATTTTACCATTATACTGGAATGAAAAAGTCTTTCAAAACTTAAAAATAAAAATTGAAAGTCAAAAGAATATAAACACAAGTAAACATGTATATTTAAAAATATTATGTAGGGTCAGTCTCTTTAATTCTTAGTGAATAAAAATGGATATTAGATATATTTTCAATTTTATATTCAAAATTATATTGCTTGTTATTTCAGACAAAAGGACTTAAAGTTTGGTATGTCAACAAAGACACTAAAATGAATGTGCTCTATTTTGATCATATATCCATTTTTATTTTCTCATATAGTAGACATAAAGCTTATAACTTTTAGATGATTGTAAATGGCCAGAATCTAAGGATAAACTGTGATATCACTATAAGAATATTGTGACCAAAACATTTACTTCAATTCTGTGAAAGAAACCTGTTACACTCAATTATTACTTTTACATAATACATTCTAAATTATAGAAACAATTAGTAGTCATTGAATATTTTCCAAGAATGTTCAGAATCTATTAAATCTACCAATACCACCCCAAGGGAAAACTCCCCCAAATAAATCACATCTTCAGGTAGTAGCATAAAATCCTGTACCCATTTAACCAATGAGGTGCTAGAACTGAAGGAATTATCAACTTTTTAACATATTGATAAACCTTATTATCAATATGTTAAAAAGTAGATAATGTCTTTATCCAATTTTTCACCAATATGAAGAAAATGTGATTATTCCAAATTAGGATATTTTTTTGAAAGCTCTTGCTGAAATTGCAAATATCCATTTTCAGAATGGATTGTTATATAGAGAAAAGCCTCCATTTAGACAGGAGAAAGTGGAGATTCACTGGGATCAATGCTGACAAGGATTAAAGTGGGGTGCTGTTGTATCCATTGTTATCAAAGGATGAGCTATGGAAGTAAAGTCCCAATCCAGTGGGACATGAGTCTCTGTTTACATCACAATGAGTAAATAAAATCCAGAAAATTCTGGAATATTATTTTATGTCCCCTTTAATTATATTTATTAAAAACAAATTGTGTTCTTTTTTCCATGTTGATATAAACTGCCTTTAATTATTAGAAATATATATTTTTAAAAATTTAAAATACACATTGTTGAAGCATGTTAATTTATAAAGTACCATTTTATACATGAAGGAGGAAGTAGATGGAAAAAAATAAGCAATCAGAAAAAAACAAAACCCTAAGGGTTCAGGTGAGTCTCAGGTTTAAAAAATCAATTTACTTTTGAAAGTGGCATTGGTACACAAATGAAATATCTAAATATCTTTGAAGTAAATTGGTATAGTGTACAATCACTGCTTGTGTGTAGATTGCTGTTTTTCGTTAGTACTGGAAAATGGCAGGTGAATTCTGTAGTGACTTCAGAGCAAAGGGTTTATGAGATTAAGGTCTTCTGTAGACTGTCTTGAAAAGAGTGAAGGGATCATGTATTTCACTGTTTTAATGAAAATTTGAAAAAAGAGTTCAGTGAAATATAAGAGAAGAATTTCATATTTGACTGTTTTTAGGACAAGTACTACTTCTGATAATTTCTAAAGTAAAATTTTTTTACTTTAGAAGATCTCCATAATTAGGTGGGATTTGCTTTCACTGTTTTCTTCATCTCTTCTAAAGAGGTAACAGAAATAAGATCTGTTATAGGGATTCTTTATAAGATTACATTATGAATCTCTTTCAATTGAACTTATATGAAAATGGTTACATGTGTTGAATTTCAGGGTGAAAAGGTTTGCCGTTCCTTTGTTTTTGCCAAGAGTCTGCAGAAGTCTCATCATTGAGTAATTTCTAGGGAATTTTAAAAAGGCACTGTGTCCTTTAAAGTTCTTTGATGGCTTCCCTAGTTCTTTGCATTTTACAGTTTGGACCACTGAGCTGAGTTAAAACTTTAAGATTTTAATGTATCAGACATCTTTTTGTTCTGTTGTTAAATCAGAAAATTGTCCTTATTTAATCTGCTGTGAACACATACATCCTAGTGTCTTTAGGGTAAATGAGCCCTATTCTAGTAGTGTGCATTTACTAGACCCTGGTTTCCTTTACTGTGAATGAGTGACATCACAGCTCTTTTTATTTTCCCCCTTAAAATAAAAATTCGTCATTGAGCTTTGTTCTTTTACCCTAACAGAAATATTAAGATACTTGTTAATTTTTTTGTTTTACCAAACGCCCTGGAAAATAAAATTCTTTTTATTGTTTAAAAAGCATCTGTAAATGGTTCTTATGCACCATTCTGGGCTCACCTCACGCATTTTTTTCCAAGCTTCTAAATAAAAATTGGGATTAAAAAAAATGAAGACAAAGATGGGATGAATCCAGTGAAAAATGGGATTTTGGGATGTTTTATTATCTAGTTATAAGTGACTCATTTATACAACATAAGTAGAAACAAGTGTTTACCTCAGAAGACTTAAATCTACATAAAGCTTCAGAGAGAACTGCATGAAATTTAAATCTTCTGGCTCATTCACAGCAACAGCAGATTTAATTGTAGTAGTCAAGCTATAAATTAACATCATAAAATCAAACCTTACCTGGCAGTGGTTGGTTTGAAGCTCTGTAATTTGAACTCCAGCTGGAAATAGCAGTTTCAGTACCCGAATACCTTCTTCACTCCCCTTTGGTGTGTGTTCGTACATCAGTGTGTCTTATTTCTTGCAGTGTCTCTGCCTGTATTCCTGATAATCCTGTAGCATTAGTCAGGACAGCACACAGCAGATGAAGACTCCATTTGGATAGGATTATAGAATTCAAAGAGTGAATTTTGCCTTTATCAGATAATAGCAGTTGATCTGTCCACAGTGTTCGGAACTTATTAAAAATTCATTGAATGTTTCAGCAGTGAGAAATCCTGGTTGTTTCTCTAGATGTTTTATCCTCTGGAAAAGTTCTGCTGGTCTGTATTTCAGAATCACTCACACTCCCAAATCACATTGCTTTAAAATTAATATCTATAGAAGCATGGATGTCCTCTTGTACCTTTTTGCTTCCCTTGGTTTTCTCCTTACCAACTTTTTTTTTAGTCCATTAGCTTGCTTTCTGCAGAGGGTAAAGGGGTTTCTTCTGTCCTCCTTATGCTTCTGTAACACATAGTTGTGCACTTGTTTTGAATAGCGAGGGAAAAATCCAAAAGGAAGTACAGCTTTATCATATCTTCGGACAGTGAGCACACTTGGCATGAATGAAGAGCTGATATGAGCTATTCAAACCAGACAGCAAACTGATGCGATGACGCTTTCATACATAACAAACCCATTAATTACTTCTGATGGACAGCAGTATGCCCTGAAAGGAAGGAGGAAAGGAACAGATGATCACATTCGTGTTGATAGGTGCTCTCCAAGCAGCTTGTCATTGAGAAGTGAATCCAGCCAGGAAAAGCTGCAGCTTAGAGTGTGATCAGGTAGAATGGGCAAGAGTCATTTTGACAGTTAAATGACGTATTTGGGGAGGAAAAAGAGCTTGGTGTAGAGGTAGCTGGAATGAGCTTCCAAAATGCTTTTGAAAAATGTTTATTTCTCTTTGTGAGTCCTTTTGGCTGGAAGTTCCCCCCACCCCGCTTTGCTGTGCATTATTTGCAGAAATTTTGCTGACTTGTTTACTCATCATATAGTTTTTCTTAAAAAAGGAAAATAATTTTTAAGAAGTTCAAGATGGAAAGACTATATTGATTGAGTTTTAAAGGTTTGTGGCCAGGAAAGGCTGTTTCTTAAATGAGAGAGACACCTGTTTTTATCTATCTGTTGGACACGTGCATTTTGTTGCTCTGGAATAAAGTGTTATGAGTCATCATTTGGTATAAAATTTTAACAGGATCTTCATTGCAATTTTTTCTTAGATGGAATTCTGATTGGCTATATAAAACATAGCTCTAAAATGTTAATTTCAGAATTTTTGTACTTCAGTTTTTTAAAATCTGGCAAGAACATCTTTTTCTACTTGTCTGTAGAGTCTTCAGGAGTGTCTCTAGACAATGGAATGTTTTAAATGCTTGAATTATTATAAGGCATTTTAATTTTACACAAAATTCTGAAAACCAATACATGAATACTTATAAACCCATTATTCTGACTTGATAATTATCAAGATTTTTTAAAGCAAATCTCATTTTACTTCTTTACACTTTAATATATGTATATAAAAATATGAACACTATTTTACGTGTGACCACTGTGTCATCACACCTAAAAGAATGCATAATTCTTGGGGCTACATACTATCCAGTCCATTTTAAATTCCTTGTATCTCAAACTGTCTTTTTATGTAGGCTTTCTTTTTCAAGTAAGAATCTAAAGCATGCCTTTTATATTTGATAGGCATTAGAACTTTAAACACTGACTTCCATGATCCCATGAAAAAAACAGATTTTAGTTTAATAGTTGTCTTCTGTATACATTTGTAATATGAATACCCAAGAGAACATATCTCTGGAGTATTTTATTGGTCTTTTTCCACTTAATACTGTATGATACCACAAAGTAATGTCAATTTATATGGTAATGAGGGGCCATGGTTTGGTTTGTTGCTTTCTGTAAGTATTTCTTGACTTGGTCTGGGGGATGTAGTTTGAGATTCTGCCTCAAGCCCTTAAGGCTATCTTTGGGGCTGGACAAACTCAATTAAATGCATTCCAGGATCCGTTCTGCTTTATGGTTGAATGAACTACCTTACTTGTTACCTTATCAAATATAGTGGAACACTTCTACAATAAATTTTTTTTTAAAGAGAGAGAATTTTTTAATATATATTTTTTTTAGTTTTTGGTGGACACAACATCTTTATTTTATTTTTATGTGGTGCTGAGGATCGAAACCAGCAGCCCACGCATGCTAGGTGAGCGCATTACTGCTTGAGCCACATCCCCAGCCCCTACAATAAATTTAAGTTTTAACGCACTTCATCATTTGAGTATGACAGTTCTGTGAAGATCTAAAATGAGAAAAGTAAAAAAAAAAAAAAAAAAAAAAAAAAAAAAAAAAAAAAAAAAAAAATCCAATGGAGCTGTTGTGTTCACGTGAACCAATGACTATAACATATGCTTTTTTCCATTGATATCAACCCCCACCCCCATAAAATTTATTTTCCCTATAAGGATGAACTCCTAGCTCCTGATAAAATTTGATTATATGTCTAACTTTTCCAGCCTGCAAGAACGTGAGGTCCTAAAATATGGGGAGCCATTCAAAGAACATGGATGGAAATTATATCTTTGTGTGCCCTTGTAGGCTCAATGCCACTACTGAGGACTGTGTTCCCATTTCTATGAAGAGCTATAGAATGCTCCTCTCTTAACATGCTCCTAGATCACAGGTGTTCTGTCGTGGCTATGACTCCTATCATATGTTATTGCAAAAATGTTTAGAAACTCTGGTGTTTTTTGATGTTCTTAAATTGTGCCTTCTTTCTTAAATCTTGCTAAACAAGGAGTGTGTGTGTGTGTTACTTACCTAAATGCAAATCACTTTTTGAAAGCTTAGTAAATGGTTACCAACTATGACCATAATATAGGGGTAATTCGTAAAAGGTTGAGCCCAGATGCTTCAACTCGTAAGTTGTCTCTGTAATTTTTCTCCTTAATCATTTATAAAGTAATGTCAACATCAAAAAAGTATTTGAAAACATGCAGGTTCTACTGGAGAATTTTGTATGGTTGGTGAAATTGTGATTATGTAAGGAGCTAGAATAATAAGTGTTAAGTGTACTTGGGGTGTAAATTCCCACTCTGTTTTGAATCATTATCTTTGGTAACCTGGCTATATGCTGAATTAATAGAAAAAAAACTGAGTTGGTGATCTAGAAAGTTCTAAAACCAAAAGAGGTGCACCTCAGCCATTGTGACTTAGCTCTTGGTGTCCCTGATGGTGATCTTGTTTATAGAAACCTATGTTTATTTTTACTTTCTATTGGTCAAACCTTGTGATTTAAAGCAAGATGTTGCCTCTCTGAATAGTGTTGTTCTTTGATGCCTATAATAAAGAATGGTTTTATTTATTTATTTTTTGTGGGTTTTTTGGAGATATTTCCATCTTTTATTTTGATACCTCCTTTTATTCTCATATTTAGTTTGCATTCTTCTATTTCCACTCTAAAGTTGTCTAAACAACTTCAAAAGTTTTCATAGGCTTCATAAGTTTTTAAATAACTTTATATATTATAAGAAAGATGATCCTCCCACAAGCCTTTTTTTCCTGCTATAACATTTGTTCCATACCTAGAAGTAAGTATGCTCATAGATGTTTGAGTCTTTGTAAAACTCTAACAGCTTTTATAGTGTGTGTGTGTGTGTGTGTGTGTGTGTGTGTGTGTGTAAAAGACTCCTCTTTATGTTCTGAAGTTCCTAACTAAGTGAAGTTTGTGGTTAATTATGTCTTCTGTGACAATTACTTCCTTTTAGGACATTTCAAATATTCATTATCTCAATTGAATGTGATTATTTTTTAGTTACTAAACTAAGGGGAAAAGTTAAAATTTTAAGAGAACTATAGAACCATGTCTACTTTTTCTAAAATAAATGTGCTCATTAATTCTTTACTAGGTATAAGACACTGTTCTCGATTCTTTGCATTTAGTGTATAATGCATTTTACTTTTAACAGCTCTGAGGCACAGACTAGAGATTGTTACTTTATAAAAGAGGAAACTGAGGTACAGAGAGGTTGTCACTTACTCAGGTTTACTCATCTAATAAGATATTGAATTATAGTATGAATCCAGGCCTGATGGTTCCAGGGTCCAGCATGATTCCTTACTGAGAATACAGATCACTGAAGTGTGGGACTCCCAGTATAATTTTGGCTCCTCTTCAGTATGACCACCATTCTACCAAAATGGAGATCTGCTGTTTCTTTGAGATCTCAGATGCTCTATACATGATCCCGAGAATTGTCTATCCTTAAGAAAGGTACAGTGAAATTAATGTAGAAGGAATGTTTTCTTCTTGTCTTCCATACTTTGTGTTTAGCCAGGAGTGTCTTTTTTTTTTTTTTAACTTCCCCGAATTATATACTCTATTCTTTTATGGTCTCTCAAACAGAAATATTGTTTAAAATACTAGTCATTTGTGTTTAAGTCAATTTTTTAAAAATTAAATTTAAAAAGACTAAATGTGGCTCTATGTGGGGGGAAATGAACTAGATACATAATACTTGACAACAAAACTTAGAAAACAATTCTTCTTTCATTTGTACCACATTCATGTAAATATATTCCATTTTTATCTTCTAATTCAAGATTTAAGAAAAATTGAGTGTATTTCTCTATCATAGAATCTATTTGTTTTCAGTGGTTTGGGCCTTATAACCTATGTTCTGGTATTGGGCCTTTTTCCATCCTTCAGATTTTAAGACTTCTGGTAAACAGAAGACAACCACTAGAGGTCTCCAGACCACACCTTGGAAAGCTCTGGTTTTCTAGCTTTGCCCTGTAAGTGGAATTGATATGTTCCAGGAAAGATTGTTTACTAATATTTCCCATTAAAGATTTATTAAATGCTACTTATGTTCTAGGTCAAACAACTATGCTATGTCCTGGGGGAAAGTTGAAAAAAAAATAACAAGGTCCCTGCCCCCCAAGAACACTGATGTCTAATGAGTCACAGACATTTGAACTTGTGGTTACAGGATGGCATGTTAGGCCTACCCACATCATATACTTTTAGATCCTAATTGCTAGGGTCCTTGAGATTTCCAGGTTTGTTGAATCTCCATTGATGCTCCCTGTAGCTCTTCATTTCCAGCAGGATCACTCCTGCTTTCTTGATAAGCTCTGATACTGCATCTTCTTCAGTCTGGGAAGGAACCTTTCTTTCTGGCATGTAGAATTATTGACTGGGCTTCTTACCCCCACCCCCAACCCTGCCCTGATTCCTTCTCAGCAGCTCAAGGAATCTAATCTTTGGGGAAGCAGTTCATACAAAAGCAAAACAAAGCAAAACCCCTCCTTTCCTATGCCAGTGAACAAGATGGTCTCAACCGAGGTTTGGAAGCCTCCATTTTGCTTTCTTCTAGAGAAATATTTATAAGAAGTCTAGGTCCTAGTTGATCTGTTGCCTGATAAGGTGTTTAAAGAGAGAAGCATCTCATGGTAGCACACTTATAAATGTATTCTGAATGACCCATGAAGATCATGGAACACAGTGCCTGGTACACAAAGGGTGAGTACTCAATAGGTGTCAGCAGTTGTTGTCATTATTATAGGAACTTAGTTTAATGTTATTTCTGCAAGGGACGGAAGAGACAGTGTAGTCCAGCCACCCAATTTAAAGAAATTTTAGTGCTCTTTTCTTATATAGGTTGCATAACTGTTTGGAGTATTTTAGTGCTTCCATTTTAGGCCAAAATTTGGGTGTAATCATTATCAGCTTTACAATACTGTTTTATAGCATTGTTTAAGTAGATAAATATTTTGAACTAATGGCAATTTTCAGTTTTAAAAGAAATTAAGGGTGATATTGAGAAAGCAATGAGCAGAAATATTAAAAGGTAAACATTTAGTGATATGTAGAAAGCTCATCCATTTGTCAGACTCTTATCTATAACAGGCTCTGTGGGAAATTCTGA